GGGTCTACTGCTGCTTCCACTTCACTATAAAAGAGTAAAAATTAAAAAAAAGACCCACCTAAAAACAAAAACAAATCCCCTGTAGTGATAGGAGATGCAAACCATACAAGAGCACCCACCAACCGCCCTCGCGGAGATAAATGGTGTTCTTGGTGGTGAACCGGATTAGCGTCAGAATGCACAGTCTTTGATATCTAAATGATACATTTTGCAATGTACAAGTTAATGAAGGCTTGGGGCAAATTACAGCCTGCGGGCCAGATTCGGCCCGCTAACATTTCCACTCATGCCCGCGGGTGGACCCAATAACTAGTAATGAATATGGTCTGCGCTGGTTTGATAATTATGTTACAACCACAACATTTTTTTTCGTTCTGTTTTGTGAAGTTTTCAAGGCTCTCTGTTAATTTAATCTTCATTGTGTCCAATCGTAGATGGGCGTTAAATTCCGAGGTTTTTAAATAACCTAATAGTATTGATAGAGACTTTAAAACCGTAGACATACTTAACTGAGTAATGACTGTTGTTGGCACATTTGCTGCATTCCAAGTATTCAGTGAGAGAAACAAAATTACACACCATAGAAATTATGTCGCAGTTCTGAAATCCGAATAGATTGTTACCGGTACATGACATGAACACACAGCTCACTCATTTGTCAATTGACTCACCAGGAAAATAGTTTTCGTGACGCTTAATTCTTTATGGAATTACAACTGGCGTCTGTGGTATAGAGGTTAGGCGCCTCGCTGTCGCACCTAAGAGACCCGAGTTCGATTTCCGAGTTGGGGAGTAATTAATTTTTATCGAATATCTCAATCATTCAGCTGGGATGGTGGTGTATCCGTATTCATCCGGGTTTACCCTGACAGGAAGGTTTAAACGCCCATCTCCTAAATGATCTAAATCATATTAATGGAGACATATAAGCGCCTATATTTAATTTCCTAAAGTGGAAATACATTAAGTAATACGGGGCACTTTTTTGTGAAGGAGAATGAAACAGTTGGAGAGTACTAGCAACCAAATTGTATTGACATCGTTAAAGTAATGCGCGGCTCTGAAAGAGCTTAGGTTTGAGATCACTCTTTTTTTTTCAGAAGTGAACGGCAGTGAAAGTGCTCGATTCTCAAAGTGAACGGCAGTGAAAGTGCTCGATTCTCAAAGTGAACGGCAGTGAAAGTGCTCGATTCTCAAAGTGCGCGGCGCTGAAATTGTGCGACTCATATAAGGCTCTGGAAGTGCGCGTGACTCTGGAAGTTTTGTTGTTGTTTTTTTTGTTTTAGTAGAGGACGGCGCTAAGGTCATATGAATGTGAGCGCCAGATGATTAGAGGTGTTACAAGAGATTAACAAACATAAAAAAGAAGGAGGGTAGATAAGGACGATAGATGTTTAATAGGAAAGAAGAAACAAACCACAACAGAGCACCCGCCAATCACCCACACTCTCTGGAAGTACTGAAACTGAAAGTGCGTGACTCTGAAAGTGCACGACTCTGAACGTGCAATGACTCTGAGAGTGCGCAACTCTGGAAGTGCGGGGTTCTATGGTGCTTTCCGCGATTATCCACGACTGGTCTATAGCACAGAGCTGAAAACACAACAATTTTGGTGGCACAAGGAAATTGGATGTGAGTGATCAGTCAGTGTTTGCTACATAATACATTTGGTACTACTTACAATAATTGCGTTTATAATATAGCACATATCCACGCTCTACATATTGCATGCTCTATACACTCTTCAGTTATTATTGCCCCGGCGGACTTGAAAACACTCAGAAACATTCTTGGCTTATCTGGAAGCATACAATGCAAGCTGCGTATTGCACGCGCTCAGACACAGACAAAACGGACGCTGCGGATTGCATGCGCTCAAACACTGAAAATTGATAAAATCTTTAACTGTCTACAGCCAGGTACCCATTCCCACCTTGGTGAAGTGAGAAAAATTTGTGTAAACCACAGTAAAGTGCCTTTCCCAAGAACATATCCTCGGATTTGAAACTGAATTTGGTTTGCAATTCCGAGATCCTGACCACTAGGTCACCAACTCGCACATGTCATTTGTGTACTTGTGTTACAGTCCCATGCAGTTTCGAAAGATTCTCATAGATACTATGGAAGACAACATAAGGAAGGAACGCAACTGTCCGAAATTTAACAGGGATTTAACCTGTTATGAGACACACCGAACATCAAATAGTCAAGCGGTTCGGTCATCTGGGGAGAATGTCTCCAAATCTACAGCAGCTGCACGAGCTTACAACTCAAAAGAGCCAGGACACGAGGGCAGGAGTTGACCACGCAAAACTTGGCTGGGCTGGATGACATTACAGACGTCCTCCAAAAGAATAACATAATACACGTATGGTTATCAACAGAGGAAGACACCTACTTGACCCTTGTCCGAAAAGTGGACGTCCCCTTCGGCATCTAATAATACAAGAAAGGAAGGATAAGGTAAAGTTAAGTGAAGTAGTGTGGAAGGTAGTATGTGATCAGTCGTGCCCCGAAGGTTCGTGGGCTGGTATGTGTGATCACGTTCCAGAAAAAGTTGCCCC